CACGGGGGGGGGTCTTCCTCCAGCAGGCCAATCACAGGCCCGCTCCCCGGGGCCACGCCCCCGCGCAGCTCCAATCCCGAGCCCCGCCTCCTTGGCTGGGTGAGGACCACACCCCCAGCTGCACGCGGGAGCGCCCGACCAAGGAATGTCGGGGAGTTGGGCTGCACCCCGCCCAGTTTCATCCCTTGCGCCCGTCCTCTCCGCTGGCCAACCCCCCATCTCACCATGACCGGTGCCAGTTGTTTGCTCCTCCAAACACTCCTGAGCCCCTCTTCAGCCTCTTGGCTCCTCCCACATTGATTGACCGGAACCATCACGCGCTAAGTGCTGGGCTGCGCTTTAGTTCAGCGCCTGTTATTTCTTGCATAAACAGAACTGCCTCCAGCCTTGCTCCAGAACTCACTGCCCAGTCTGTGCTCCCACCTCCGGCCCGAGTGCAGGTCTGGGAGACCACAGGTGGTGCAGCCCCCTCTAACCACATAAAGTGATTTGAGGCAGTGATTTTCAACCGACGAGCTAGATCAGCAAAATTTTTTGGTGTGCCACAGAATTTTAAAATAGTTTACATGGGCTATGAGATGAACAGGGCTGAATATCACTGATCTGAGGGACCACTTTCTCAGTTCTCCGGAGGATGGTGCATGACTAGTGCGATTTTAGATGGTAGTTGGTTAGTCTATGGATACCTGGAGGCAGTGAGCTTCTGGTGCGGGTTAAAAGCATGGGCTTGAGTAACCCAAACCCAGGTTTCCATTCCTGGCCAGCCGATGATCTTGAGCACCTTACTGAATGCCTCACCTGAAATATGGGAAGAAAACCGTGCTCCTTCACTGGGTCAGGATTGAGATGATTTATGCAGGCTCTTCTATGATGCCAGGCAAATGGCAACGCTTCATACATGTTGGCTGTTATGTGATGCCTGCTGTATAAAACCCCCAGAAACATTCATTGTCCACCAGACTGACTTTAATTTTCCTCGGTGAGACCTTTGCCAAATCCTTAATGATTTGGATGATCATAAGGATTAAATTATGAATACTTAAGCAAGTGTCTGGTTTGTGGCTGTGAACTCAGCAACGTTCTTTCTTCTCTTCCTCCTCTTCTGAATCCTCCCACCCATCCACATCTTGTGTCTCTACTCTAGTATTAACCACTGTGCTGTAATTACGTTTCACGTCTATTTTACTTTAGACTGGGAGCTCTTTGGGGGTCAGAGACCAGTCTTGTCACAGTGGTATCCTGCGCTGAGCACGGTGCTTGGCACATGGCAGGTCCCAAAGGAATGTTTGCATACTGAGCGGGTGAGACAGAAACCCATGCAAACAAGGAATGGTGAACTTGTGTGTGAAGACTTTTTTGCTGGGCTGCTTTATTATCTGAACCCAACAATCCAAGCACGATTCTCCTTTCTGGAGATGAGGAAGCTAAGTGTCTCCCCCTGTATACACATCGAGGAGTACACACATACTAGCTGATCAAGAAATGTTTGATAGAATAGAAGTAACAGAATTAACTGATGATTTTGCTTTATGGAAGGGTTGAATTCTCAGGTCCCATAACCCTTCTTTTAGGGCCCAGAGAAAGCAATACATGGTTCCATGCAGAACAGCAATGCTGACCGTTCCTCCCGAGACTGATGCATAGTTCTGTCCCAATGGGACTAACAAAGATCTCAGAAAGCTGCCTGGTCCAACCCTGGGCGATGGGAGTGGACTGGGTCATGACGTCATAGCAGAGGAGAGGTCAAACGGATGGGCTGGGAAGGCCACCTCTGTCCAGGCACCAGTAAGTCTGGCTGGGCTGGTGATGTCAGGTTATTGTTTTTAAAAATCTATTTTTATTGATTTTAGAAAGGAAGGGAGAGGGAGAAAGAAATAGAAACAATGACCAGAGAGAGTCATTGATTGGCTGCCTCCTACAGGCTCCCTACTGGGGATTGATCCCCCAACCCGGGCATGTGCCCTGACTGGGAATCGAACTGTGACCTCCTGGTTCACAGGTGGACACTCAACCACTGAGCCACACCGGCTGGGCTTAGGTTACTTTTAAAGGAGAAGGCTTCTCTTCCAAACAGAAAGACAATACTTACATTTTTTTGCCAGGTACCCTGAAGGATGAATATGGTGAAGGAAGGGTCAAGAGAAGGGAGAAGGAAGAGTGGCCAACTAAAGGACCACTGGACCTGGGCTCAAACCACATCCCCTCTAAACTGTGCTCTGTCCCCGACCTGAAAAGCCTCCAGGAAGAAGCTAAGCTTCTGCTTCTGCTGAGACAACTGCAAAGATGGTCACGGTTTGGGGACAGCTTACATTTTAGCACACAGGACAACTGCTCAAGGGTTCTTGGGAAGACCTGGAAGAATTCTGTGCTGGGAAGCCCTTCCTCCCAAAACTCTCAGGTGTGAAAAGCCTTGGCGACAAGACCCCCAGACACAACAGTCCTATAGGTATAACACTGGGGCCTTGGCCCATTTATTTGCATAGCCAGAGGTTCCTGCCACAAGCAGCAGTCTCAGACTGTGGGTAGCCACTTCCCTCTAGCCTGGGCTGGGCAGAAAGAGACAGACATGCAAATACATATTTGAGATTCCTCTCTCTGAGGCCTGCAGGTCTGAAGAAACCACCTGCTCCTTTCCTGCAGCCTCTGTAAGATTAGCTTTAGAAGTCTGCTCAACTTGCACTCACAGAATCTGCTACCAGTTAAGCACCGAGTAGTAAGTAAAACCCATTACATAGGTTGTTCCTTTCAACACAGACAAAGAAGAGTGTGATGCTACCCAGGAAATAGCCAGGCTTGGGACGAAGGTACATGCTTCCTTCTTCCTGACCCATGGAAGAGACTGCTCCATGGCCTGACCTGGACCTTTTGTCACAGGGAGATTTGGGGGGCCTTCCAGGGAACGCCTCGGCCTAGCTCTCTCCAGGGCTACAAGGATGCTGTTCCTGTAGGTACCATCAGATTTCAGCTTCAGAGAAGGACGAGAGGCTTACCCTTCCAGGAAAGAGATCAAGGACTTACAGCATGCGAGCACTGACCAGGAACATTGCCGGGAACGGGACCAGGGAAGCCAGGGGACGATCAGTAGGTGAAGCGCATCTTTTGAGAGTAGCCCAGTTTGTCCAGGTTGGGGTGGCAGGCCAGCTGCACCATTGGGGGAGGCCCACAGAGAAGCAGCAGCACGTCGTCCCCCGGGGAAGGCAGGTGCTCCTGGATCATGTCCGCAGTCACAAAGCCCTGGCTGTAGGCCCAATCTGCAGTAGAGAGGAGAGGAGAGAACAGTCACTCCAGACCCATGCTGGCAAGGGGTGTAGAGCCTGAGGTGGGGAGGCCCAGAAAGGCTCTGGAGAAGGTGTCAAGTGAAACACAGCCTGCACTCAGCCTGCCTCAGCAGCACAGCCATTCCTGCCGCCCACCTGGTGAGCAGGGGCCTGAGGGAAAGGGCCGGGAGATCCATGTGTCCCTGCACACAGACTGGGGAGCTCAGCCGTGTTAGGGAGGTTGGTTCCACCTCAACCAGAACCCAATCGGGGCAAGGCCCTGGTTCTGGGATATCCAGAACGGGCGGGTACCTGCTGGGGGATGATCCAGAGTGAACCAGAGTTGAAAGCGACTGGGGTATTGGGCCTGCAGCTCCTCCAAGTCCTCCCGTAAGATTATGTCCTTTTCAGTCTTAAATGAAAAGGAGAAACAAAGTCTTTAGGAATCTTCTCAGGCCCACAGAACATTTTGTAACCAGGAGAGAAAAAGAAAGCACGACTTTTAGGTTGGTTAGGATGAGGGGGAAGGAGAGGGGAACAGGTTTTATTTACACAGCATGAAGAAATAAAGATGGCATATCTAACCAAGGTAACCCAAAGAGCAAGTTTTTATGCTCAGGACGATATTTCCAAAATGTTTTCTTTTCTTCTTTCCTTGGGCCCAGGGAAGGAATTGGCTCAGGGCTTTGTCCTCTTATGGTAGCAGAGGGTCCTCTAGCTACAGGGGGATCTTGGGCACTGGCCTGTTTCTGCCCGTGGGTGCCACATCTCTGAGCTGACCCACACAACTGAAAAGTCCCAGGACTGAGAAAAGCAAACCAACCTGGTTGGCAAAAAGCAAAGAGCACTGGGTTGGATCTGCGGGGTCTTTCAGGATGGCCCGGATCAGCTGAAGCATCGGGGTGATTCCTGCATAGACAGCCACAGGGAGACATGGTAGTCACAGCCTACCGTTCCAGCTCCTCAGCCAACAAACGCTTTCATCTGAATGCTTCCCACTCACCACTGCACCACCTTCATTCAGTGTCCAAGTCCTCTAACCTCCTGGGTATGCTCCAGCACCCACAGCTCTGGATAGACATGCCTCTTACCATCAACTCACAAAAACTGGTATCTGGTAGGTGGACTGTCGTCATGCTCAGTTCAAGCCACCCTCATGTCGCTGTGGGCTCATATTGTTAAAGTCCTTCTAAGACTTCCTCCAAACGTCCCCTGTTGGCTAGATGTCACAGGTGCTGACTCAGTGGGACAGTCCTGAACGGGGCTTGCAGGTTCAGGGCAAGTGCTCTGGAACCAGGCAGAGCTGGATACTAATCCTTTACCTCTTAACCTCTCTGCAGCTGCCTTTTCTCATCTGTACAAGGAAAAGGCAAGTACCTACACAGAGGTAAAGAGCCTACCACAGTGTCTACTATGTGGAAATGTCCAGTGCTAACTTTCTTCTTGACTGGCCTGTTTCTAGCGGTGTCCCTGTTCTCACCTAAAGGAGATCCATTCAGTGGGAGGTCTTAGGAGAGCACACCTGAGTTATCGCTCATTCTATCGGTTAAAAAATTGCTTTTGGTTTCCACCTGATCATGATTTTGTTTTTTAGGTACTGGGGAGCCCTGGGCATTGCTGGGCATCCCAATTACCAGCTTGATATGATTTCAAAACTTTCCGAGGGTCCCCGGGAAGTTTTCATGGCAACACCAACAATGGTGGTAGAGAAGGGCCCCAAAGCAACACACACCTGTCCCGCCGGCGATCATGCCCAGTCTCTTCACCACTCGGAGCTCTGGTGGAGACTTTTTGCTGGACTGAATGCTAAAATTCCCTGAGAAATCAAGAGAAGAAGGGATGGAAGAGTGAAGTCAATATAGGAAATGAAGAAAACAAATGCAGAACTAAAAATATGGCAAGCCAGGTTAGCAGCTGCAATGAAATATGACCCCGGAGCTGGGCGGACATCTGAGTTGAGCCAGCCCTGATAATACACAGGAGGGTCAATGGGGCCAGGATCACATGGCCTGTATTATTAACTACCAGTCAGTTTAGGCCACACACTGAGTCAGCAGCTGCTTCGGGCAGAGGGTCACCCCTAGTGAGGGCAACTGGCCTGGGGACAGGTGTGAATCTACTTTTCCAAGTGCACAGAGCAGCCCCAGGGACTTGCTAATGCTGTTCCCCTGGGAAGGGCTAAAAGCTCTCTCTGGCTCCCTAAACAGCTCAGCCTGAGGGGCGAATCTGTGAGGCAGGGCTGCTTTACTTGTCTCCACAGCTGTCGTGGTTGGCGAATTCAAGTGGACAGGGGGCTGATCCTGATCCCGGTGACAAGTGGGCTGAGCCCTCTGCCTCTCGATACTGTCAGAGCTATGTGTACAGGAAGGCAGCCCTGGCCCCCTGCACGGCACGTGTGCCCAGAGGACTGGAGAGCTGGGAGAGGCTCAAGGAGCAGAGGGGCCCTTACCTTTCCCCATGTAAGTGAGCAACCCACTCGGCCCTCGAAATTCTACCACATCCCCAATCTCCAGGCTGTCCAGGTACTGAGACATCTTCCCTCCCTCAGGAAATTTGGGGTGCACACCTTTCAGGTAGACCTGATAAGACATAATGGAAAAGACTTTATTTGGGAGGACATAAGGAAGGCCAAGAGACATATGAAAACACGCTCAAAGTCACTATGATCTGAGAGATGCAAATCAAAACGACAAGGTGGTACCACCTCACATCTGTCAGAATGGCTACCATCAACAAATCAGCAAATGACAAGTGCTGGAGAGGATGTGGAGAAAAAGGAACCCTCCTGCACTGCTGGTGGGAATGCAGACTGGGTGCAGCCACTGTGGAGGACAGTATGGAGTTCCCTCAAAAAACTAAAAATGGAACTCCCATTTGACCCAGTGATCCCACTTCTAGGAATATATCCCAAGAAACTAGAAACACCAATCAGAAAGGATATATGTACCCCTATGTTCATAGCAGCACAATTTACAGTAGCTAAGATTTGGAAACAGCCTAAGTGCCCATCAGTAGATGAGTGGATTAAAAAACGGTGGTACATCTGCACAATGGAATACTATACTCTGGTAAAAAAGAATTCTTACCATTTGCAACAGCATGGATGGAACTAGAGAGCATTATGCTAAGTGAAATAAGCCAGTCAGAGAAAGAGAAGTATCACATGATCTCACTA